TTTTTTAAGATTTTATTTATTTATTTGACAGAGAGAGACACAGCGAGAGAGGGAACACAAGCAGGGGGAGTGGGAGAGGGAGAAGCAGGCTTCCTGCGGAGCAGGGAGCCCGATGTGGGGCTCGATCCCAGACACTTAATGACTGAGAGCCACCCAGGCGCCCCGTGACTTATTTATTTTAGAACTGGAAGTTTGTACCTCCTAATCCCCTTCACCTGTTTCACTCATCCTCCTCCCCTCCTAGCAACCACCGGTTTGTTCTCTGTATTTAGGAGTTTGTTTCTGTTTTTTGTTTGTTCATTTTTTTGTTTGTATAAGTGAAATCATATGGTATTTGTCTTTGATTTATTTCACTTAGCATAATACCTTCTAGGTCCACCAATGTTACGACAAATGACAAGATTTTTTTCTTTTTTATGGCTGAGTAGTATTTAACTTATGTATATGTGTGTTATACATAACATCTTCTTTATCCATCTATCTATTGGTAGACACTTAGATTGCTTCTAGATCTTAGCTATTGTAAATAATGCTGCAATAATCATAGAGGTGCGGGCGCCTGGGTGGCTCAGTTGGTTAAGCAACTGCCTTTGGCTCAGGTCATGATCCCGGAGTCCCGGAATCAAGTCCCACATCGGGCTTCCTCCTCAGCGGGGAGTCTGCTTCTCCCTCTGACCCTCTCCCCTCTCATGCTCTCTCTTACTCTCTCTCTCAAATAAATAAATAAATAAAATCTTAAAATAATCATAGAGGTGCATATCTTTTTGAATTAGTGTTTTCACTTTCTTTGGGTAAATAGCCAGCAGTGGAATTACTGGATCATATGGTATTCTATTTTTAATTTTTTGAAGAACCTCCATACTGTTTTCCATAGCAGCTGCACCTGCTTGCTTTCCCACCAACAGTGCCCAAGTGTCCCCCTTTCTCCACACCCTTGCCAATTCTTGTTATTTCTTGTCTTTTTTATGTTAGCCATTCTGATGGCTGTATTTTCTCATTGTGGTTTTGATTTGCATTTCTTTGATAATTAGTGATGTTAAGCATCCTTTCATGTATCTGAAAATACATGTCCTTTTTGGAAAAATGTCTGTTCAGGTCCCCTGACCATTTTTAATTGGATTATTTGGGGGTTTTGTTGAGTTGTATGCGTTCTTTTTATATTTTGGATATTAACCCCTTATCAGATACATCATTTGCAAACACCTTCTCCCATTTTTGTGTTGGTGGCTTCTTTTGCTATGCAAAAGCTTTTAAGTTTGATATAGTCCCAATTATTTACTTTTGCTTTTGTTTCTCTTGCCTGAGGAGACAGATCCAGAAAACTGTTGCTAAGGCCAGTGTCCAAGAGTTTACTGCCTTTGTTTTCTTTTAGTTGTTTTATGGTTTTAGGTCTCACATTTAGGTCTTTAATTCATTGTTACTTTATTTTTGTGTGGGGTATAAGAAAGTGGTCCTGTTTCATTCTTTTGCATGTAGCTGCCAAGCTTTTCCACCACCATTTGTTGAAGAGACTGTCTTTTCCCCATTTATATTCTTGCCTCCTCTCTTGTAGATAATTATGGTTTAAAAAAAGATTATGTTGGGGCCCCTGGGTGGCTCAGATGGTTAAGCATCTGCCTTCGGCTCAGGTCATGATCCCGGGGTCCTGGGATCGAGCCTCACATCAGGCTCCTGGCTCAGCGGAGAGCCTGCTTCTCCCTCTCCCTCTGCCTCTCCCCCTGCTCATGCTCTTTCTCTCTGTATCTCTGTGTCTCAAATGAATAAATAAAATCTTTAAAAATAAAAAATAAAAAAGATTATGTTGAAGTTCAGCTCCTTTTTTTTAGAATCATGTTTTTAAGTTTTTTAAAATTACACTTTGGAAGTTGGTTTTATTCCAAGAATATTTTATGTGAAAGGGGACTTTTCTTTTTGCTTCTATGAGAAAATACATTCTGAGACTCTTACACATAATTTTTATATAGCCTTTTTAAAATTTAATACTGGGCCAATCATTCTTAAAATTGTCCTTTAAGATATAACAGTTCAGACTTAAAAATTTTAAGGTGAAAATATTAATAGTTTCAGACTTTGAATCATGAACTGTAGGAAAATACCATTATTTTTGACATGGTGAATAATTCATGTGGTTTATTTTTGTTCTGACAGGGAGTCCTTGGCAGAAGATTCTGTCTGGCTCTTTCTTAAAGTCTGCATCCTGTTTATAAGTACTGAGTTTAGTTTTAATTTTTTTTTAAGTAGGCTCCATGCCTAGGAGCCCAATGCAGGGCTTAAACTCATGACCCTGAGATCAAGACCTGAGCTGAGATCAAGAGTCAGACACTTAGGGCGCCTGGGTGGCTTAGTTGTTAAGCGTCTGCCGTCGGCTCAGGTCATGATCCCAGGGTCCTGGGATCGAGCCCCGCACTGGGCTCCCAGCTCTGCAGTAAGCCTGCTTCTCCCTCTGCCACTCCCCCTGCTTGTGTTCCCTCTCTCACTGTCTCTCTCTCTGTCAAATAAATAAATAAAATATTAAAAAAAAAAAAGTCAGACACTTAACTGTGCCCCTAGTTTTGTTTAATCTTAATTTGAAATAAAATAAAATAAAAAATAAAAAAATAATCTTAACTTGAGTAGAACCAATGTTTTAATGATAATTTTAACATTTCTATCTACGAAAAAGGCAGATATACTTTTCTTAGGGCTTGTGTTGAAACTCTTGATCAATTTGGGAAGTATTGCTGTGTTACTATTAAGTTTTCTAGTAGGAAGAATATGGAATGTCTTCTTATTTATTTAGGTGTTCGTCAGTTT